GGGAGGAACCCGAAGGAGGCTTCGCTGAAGGGCGGAGTCACTTTCGTGGAGTTAAACCGGCCCTGAACCCGGGTCAATGGGCCTATTTTTAGGTCGAGCCCATGGGTCGGAGATCCCACGTTAATAAACCGTCCTTGTGCCACATGATCTCCCAGTGTGGGGGTGACTGAATATCGTCAGTTGTTCAACTCTTGACCGGCTGTGCGGTTGAACTCTATGCCTTCGGGCGGGGAAGAACCCGAACAAGGCTTCGTCGAAGGGCGGATTCTCTTTCGGGGAGTTAAACCGGCTCTGAACCAGTTTATACGGGTTCAATGGGCATATTTTTAGGCTGAGCCCATGGGCTCGGAGATCCCACGGACTCTGAGATCTCACGGGCTCTGTGATCCCATGTTAAACCGGCCTTGTGCCACATGGTACCCTCTTGGGTGGGGTGACTGAATATCGTCAGAAGTTCAAGTCCAGTCAGTAGTTCAAGTCGAGTCAGAGGCAGTCCGAAACAGAGACGTGTTCAGACAATTACTGCAAGACATTGGTATCGTGATACTGGTCGAGACTACATTGTTCTCTTTACTAAACCTGATAGTTCATACTAAGACTTCTACTTCTCTCTATATATTCTTGTTTGTAATATATCTGTGTTATTCCAGAACTGTATTCGAGTTCTTCTTTATTGGTTCTACATTAGACCATTACCGTGGTACAAGGAATCGGACCTTAACAGTATGTATGTATGTATCTATCTATCTATCTATCTTTGTTATCCATAAAGAGTGGTAGCTAACTTTTTCGTTATCTATCTATCTATCTATCTATCTATCTATCTATCTAAGTTCATTATCTAGATAGAGAAAGGGATAATCCTTTCATTACCTTCATATGTATGTATGTATCTATCTATAAAATTATTCCCCCCCCTACCTCCAACTCGTCTCTCACAGACCGTGTGTGGCAAGCCTCTCAGTACACTATCGCTACGTCTACGAAAAGTCCTCTGTTAAAACACTTCCAAGATATTTAACAAACCAAAAGATATTCCTATGGAAATGGTCAGGTTGAAGAACTAGACTGAAAATTGGTAAAAAAAAAAGAGGCAAGTTTTCAAAGAAAATCCCTGAGAACTATTTTATCCAGGCGTTTTTGGAAATTGCATTTTTTTTTCCGGAAAGTTATGTTATTTGTTAATTCTATTTTCAAAAACGCTTGGATAAAACAGTGAAAAACATTAACGCAACGGATAAAATTTTAATGAAATCTGACAAAACAGGAAATTTCTATAAAATAACGACAAGGGACTGCAACGATCTAATCAATAAGAATTTACATAAGAACTATAAAAAAGAAAATAATAATTACCTCAACATGGTGGATAACATTAACAGTAAAAATATCACAGATAATCTGAAGATTAGTGATAGTCTAGGTAAATTAGCTGACAAAGAATGCTATATTACCATAAAAGACCAAAAACCAGATTTCGAAGCTAATCCAGCTACAGGGATAATAAACCCAACAAGACCTGAGATCGGCAAAATACGTAAAAAAAATCCTAGAAAGTGTTAATCAACAAATTAAAGAAAAAATAGGATTGAAACTGGTTTACTGATATCAAAGATAAAACAAACTGTACACTAATGAGTTTGATATTGAAAGTTATTATCAATCAATATCAAAAGAACTGTTAAAAAATCGGTACTGATACATAAAGGTGAGCAATGGATAAAGAATTCTTATGACCACTTTGACATCACAATGGGATCATTAGACTCAGTTGAGTCTTCTGATCTTATAGGTTATTTTATATTATACAATCTCACAGCGTATCGTGAAATTAATATAACTGACATATAACTGACAATGGACTCATGGTTATAAAGAACTCTACTAACTTTAAAATCGATAAAATTAGAAAGATATATAAAGAATTCAAAAGCATGAACTTAAAAATTACGGTAAGCACTAAATTAAAAGTACTTCCTTGATCTAACATTTAATGAAAAATGTATACATACTTTATAAAAAACCCAATACTAATCCTTTGTATATACACTCTAAATCTAATCATCCTCCATCTATAATTAAGCATATACCTTTATTTATCGAAAAAAGAATAAGTACAAATTTAGCAAATGAGATTTTCTATGAACATATTAATTTCTATAATAAAGCTCTAGAAGATAATGGCTACAAAAGCCCAAAACTAACTTACATAAAAAATGAAAATAGAAAAGCACAGGAAAAACGGAAGTAGAAAAATAATTTGGTATACACCCCCATGCAATCAAATGGTAAAGAATAATTTAGGATAAAAATTTATTGCATTAATCGTTAAACATTTTCCTAAAGAAAGTAACCTCTGTACTATTTTCAATAAAATACCCTTAAATTAAGTTACAGCTGTACTGAAAACTTAGAAAAAATTACTAAGAAACATAATGATATTATCTTGAATAAACACTTAGACCAAAGAAATTTAGATAGTATTAAAAAAAAGATGAAGATAAACAAAAATTATGTAACTGCAGAAATCCTCATAACTGTCATCTACAAAATAGATTTTGCACGGAATAATTAGTATACCAATGCAATATCTCATCTATTGAGAATCCCGAAAACTTAAAAATCTATATAGGTTGCACAAGCCATGAGTTCAAAAAAAGATTCAATCAAATTCATTTAGGATAAATAAATACCAAAATCAGATGTCCCTATCGAAATATTTCTGGCACTTAAAAGAAACCAATAAAACACCTACAGTAAAATGGAAATTAACAAGAAAAGCTAGAATATGTAGGTCATTAAATGACCCATGTCCTTTGTGCAGACATTAGAAACTATATAATACTAGGTTTATAAAAATTACTGAATTAAAGAACTAAAATAGCTATTCTTTGCCGACATTGTCAAAAATTTTTCTTAAATAATGTTAAAACAAAACTATCTTATACATATTTATATTTGACATTTAATAATAATTTTTAAATAATTTAAGTAATTCTATTACATTTATTTGTATTAAAAAGAAGTATAGATTATTAGTAATTCAAATTAAAAATGACATTTTAAAATTGTAGTTCAGTAAAACGTATTCTAATCTAAACACTCCTTTTAGAAATAATCTTTATGTATACAAATACAAATGTAACGGAAGAAAATGCCGAAAAACATTTTGTCGTTGATAAAAACAGACGACATGCGTTGAACGGATGTCATAATTCGTTGAAAAGGCAACTCTACCCTACATAGATTTAACCTCTTTTCGAAAGTAACTCATATTTGATACAATAGACGTTAGTATAAATAAACACGCTACCACCCCTTTTTAAAATGATTGGATTTCTCCATATCCTTGAAAACAAATCTTATGAATGTATGTGCTTATAAAACTCAGTAAATATCAAGTTATTCCAAATTTCGCTTGAAAATTAAACTATAATTGAATTTAAAGTTTTTAGTTTCTGTTTTTGAAACATGGTAATTCCTATGTAGCGATGGAACCATATTTTTAAATCGGTTAATTTATAATATTATGTTCTGTAAATTTACATTGAGCACTGTTTTGTAAAAATTAAAATATTAATAATAACACCGGATTATATATCTTAGTGTTCTTTCTTTTATTATAATATATATATATATATATATATATATATATATATATATATATATATATATATATATATATATATATATATATATATATATATATCCTGTAAATTTGTTTAAATAGTTTCTGGATTATTCTATTTACATGCGGGCTATTGTCCTCATCTTTGTTGTTATCACAACACTTCGAGAAAATATCCTAGTTGATTAAAGCGTTTGTACTTGAATTCGGAGACATAGTAATCGTGAGTTCAATGGGCCGGGCAGTGTGAACTCAATGGAAACAGGACGATCATTAACTAAACCGTACTAAAAATAAGAAATAGACGAAATATCCCGAGACATGGAAATAGCCCAGCTCTATCTAGATTAAATAAAACGTTATATCTAGAATTCCTTTCAGGTTACCCGGGTCGATATACACCCCATGAAGGCCGGAGGGTGCAACGGCCGAAAAGTTGTTATAGCAACAAACATGGTGAGGAGCATATTCCGCGTGTAAATGATTGTTTCAATAGTTTTTTTTTTCCACTCTGGGCATTTTGCAGAACTTTTCCCTAAAATCTTCTTTTTTTTTTTTTTTTTTTTTTTTTTGCTAAATTCCCATGACAAAAGTGCAATTTCAAAACGCCTTTGGTAAATAGCCAATGGCAAATTTCCGAATACGGACTTTTCTTTTTCAGTTGTAATATGAGTTCTTCCTCTTTTTCAAAAATGTTTATTTTTCTCTTCTATTTTGTTTCTTCTCAGGTCAGTTCTTATAGGTGAGATAGCTGAGTAAAATTTTAATATTTTTTAACTCAAATATTCACACACACATACATATATATATATATATATATATATATATATATATATGAAGAACTTGGTAATCCGTATGGATAATCCCAAGGCGGATGAAATCCTGAGATCTCAATGTAAATCCAGAGCTAATATTTAAAAGAAAAACAGACCACTTTAAGGTAGCATTATAATAATTTATTTCACCAGAGTCCTTCTGGTGAAATAAATTAATATAATAACACTTTAAAATATATATATATATATATATATATATATATATATATATATATATATATATATGAAATGCAACAACTGGCCGATATCTTTGCATGGAAATTACTGTTTTATTTGCAGATTTTATTATATTCGTGTTTTTATCGGTTCCATAGAAAGAAAAAATGAAATTTAAAAAAAAAAATGTATGTGTCTATTTTTATAAAGCCGCTGGGATAAGTTAAATTAGTTTAGAGTTTTGATTAATTAAAATATATTTAACTTATCAAGCTCTAGACAACAATAAGTAACAAACGGTATTATTTTAATTATTAATTAATTAATATAGACACATCGTCAAGTGGCAACGAGTACATTTTAACAGTGTTACTGAGTATATGTTCAAACATGTTTATGTTTGTAATATTAACAATGCCATATCTATCTATCTATCTATCTATCTATCTATCTATCTTTCTCAGTCTGTTCGCTGTCAACTACGATTTTCAAAAATTGAAACGCAACGTCAATCGCCATCTTTCTTTTGGAATGTCGTTCTTTTATTTTCCTTTCTTCTTAATCATTTCACCCCAAGCAAGGCGGGAATGCCACTAGTACGCAAGGGGGTTACAGGGTGTGAAAATGAGAGAAAAGACTGAGTATATGGAGGTTTGAGGAAAGGACAAAAGATGAACGGGATTCAAGAAGATAGAAGATGGCGATTGACGTTGCATTTAAATTTTGTTAATCATTTCACCCCAAGCAAGGCGGGAATGCCTCTAGTACGCAGGGGGCTACAGGGAGTGTATATAAAAGAGAAGACTCAGAATAGGGAGGATTGAGGAAAGAACAAGACATGTACGGGATTCAAGAAGACAGAAGATGGCCATTGACATCGCAATTAAATTTTTGAAGATGGTAATTATCAGAAAATCAAGATAACGGAAGAGAGTTCCATAGGCGAGAAGTGCGAGAAAAGAAAATGTTGGAGTAAAAGTGTGACTTAATTGCCAATCTAGTAGCACGCTTAAATTCATATATTCAGAGCATCAAGAAAAAAAAAAACTCTTCAGAGCAGTTCCTATGAAAATATTTGGAGAAAAGACACGCCACTTTGGTGAGAAAGTGACTGAATTCGAGATGCCAGGTGAAGACTGATATCATTACAGACCCTCCTTTGGATTTTCTCAAGAATGTATAGATGTACATCAGAAGTACCAGACCAGATATGGCAACAGTATTCCATGCACGAACGAATGGTAGATTTGTAAACGTGCAAGATGGATTGTGACAAGAGAAATTTTTATGGCACGACACAGTGACCCAACTTTCCTTGCAGTAGATACAGCTATTGATTCGATAGGCGCAGCGGATTGCACTTCTGGGGCCTGGCATCAGCCATCCTGATGGCAGGCAGAAAAGTTTCTATGTGGCCGTTGCAAACTTATAAATACAACGTTTCATCATTACACATTTTATAGTATACTAGCAGTAGAGCCCGGCGTTGCCCGGGGATGTAACAGTAAGAGATAGATCAAGTATCGACCATCATAAAGACTGAAAAATAAAATTGACAAAGATTATTGTTTAAGGTTGACGGACACGCATGTCTTAATTAGTTTATTTTTTTTGGGGGGGGGTTCTTACGAATTGGTCAAACCCAAACAAAAACAGTGTTTTCAATCGTTATGAGTCTATCGATTGAATAGAATTTTATTATAAACAATTGTCTTGTAAGTGGAATTTTTAAAGCATTCTGAATGTAAAAATAAAGAAAAGTGTGCAAGACAATAAGAAACACTACCTGCCAAAAAAAAGTGAAGTTTTGTTGAAATCGGTTGAAAAATGTAGGAAATCCGATCCCATATATAAACGAACACACACACACACAAACACACACAACCTGGGTTTTATAATAAGTATAACTCGATATGAGTTGTCCCCCTTTCATTCTGGTGAGTGATGCCCCTTAATCATGTTTTCAAATTTATTTCGTGCAAAAACAATTGTGTTTTTCCAATTTTTGGCGCTGTCAGAAACACCGCAAGGTAATTTTACGTAGTCCTGGGAAGTTTTGTTGAAATCAGTTTGAAAAATGTAGGAAATCCGATCAATATATAAACACACACACACACACACACACACACACACACACACACACACACACACAATCTGCGTTTTATAATAAGTAAGGTTAGGTTTAATATTGCAAATACTTTTTACTCCAAACGAATCAAAAGAATTTTAACATCAAGACTTATAAGTCTTTACTGACGGGGGCAGGGATCAGTTAAATTCCTAAGGATGGTGCCACACAGCTTACCTTCTTATGAAAAAAATCTATTGAAAATAGCGTATAATGACCACTAAAATTTTTTTTTTAATTTATCATTTACTAAAACAACTTTATTATTTCATAGCAAGATTTTTGGAACGATGAAAAGCCAGAAATATTTTTTAATTTTGTGTTAGATTTTAGAATATATACAGGGTGATTGAAAAGTAACTCCGAGTTTTAAAATACTCATAATATATTTATTAACTATAATTTTTACAAGAAATGAATATAAGATGAAAGCGTTTAGCATGTGGTTTTATTTAAAATTTGATATTGGCACCAAATTTTGCTATCAGCTTCTCGAATCACCCAGGAATTACGTCAACTGATTTCACCAGGAACTCTCGTGGTATGGAAGACTTATCAGTAGCAATGGTCAACCAGACACGCCTCACTGAGTATTACCTTAAAGTGAGAGGTACGTAGAAGAAGCACGAGAGAGAATAAAAGCCATGACTCTTCTCAGCGAATTTGCAATTACGGTTTTATTCGAACGTTATTTTGAATGCAAACAAATTTGATCTCCATCGGACAATCAGCCCAATGAACCATATAGCAGAACTTACACGAATTCTGTTAAATAGAGACTGCAGAAGAATTAGACAAGAAATGGGACTAGAACACTGTAACAAGGAATGCAATTTTTATACTCAAAATGATATCAGAAAGAGTAATACAAATGCAATAGGATATATATATATATATATATATATATATATATATATATATATATATCATTTCCGTTGAGTTGACCGATTAAATATGTCAATGTCTGATTAAGTATTATAAAAAGAAATATAAAAATAAATTTTAAAACTCTCCCTTCCCTCTCTAAACTCGACCATGTCTCTCATACCTTCTCTCACCACCCTCTGTGTCAAATTATATAAGCTTCATACTGCCCGTCAAAAGTGTAAATTTTAATTTCATTTTTCGTTTCACTTTTTGAAAGTGAAGTCTGAGGATCCAGAGAAGGATAAAATTCTCTGGTGAAATAAATTATTACAATGGAGTCTTAAAGTGGTCTGTTTTTCTTTAAATTAAATTATTCGCTCTGAATTAATATTGAGCTCTCAGGATTTCATCCTCTTTGGAATTATCCATACGGATTACCAAGATTTTCGTTTCTTATATATATATATATAGTCGACTGTCCCGTCAAAATTCGACGTATGAGGGTCAAGCAGATCAGTTTCCAGGAAATCAACAGCCCGACAACGGCACATGAGATTTGATTATAGTGGTGAAGGCCTCGTGCAGGACCATCCACACTTTTTGAAGGGACGAATACAGAGACCTGGTGCACCGAATGCCACAAGGATCCCAAACGACCCTCCGCAGGTTTTGAATTCAGAGTTGTCCTTCTCCTAGACCAGTTGCCATCCAAGGCTATAGAACCCAGTCTGCCCTGCTATTTTACCCATAGCTGGAGGGAGAGGAAGAGGATTCATATCTTTACCAAGGGTAATAGCACGTAAGTGAATGTAATGGATTCGACTGGAATTCGAACACGGCTCTGCGATTCCTCAATCCAAGCCGCTATCCATTACTCCACCGTGTCTCCTCATATATATATATAATGCCTCTTGATTCCTTGGCAAACATAGGATCGCAGCAACACCTCTCCAGCAAGCGATCCTCTCCAGCTCGGCCAATGTCGTGCCGGCTGCGTTCACTTCTGTGTCAACACTTCTGTGCCAAGTCTGTTATGGTCGACCCACTTTTCGCTTCCCTTGTGGATTCCAGTCAAGGGCCTGCCCGGTGACACTAGGAGCAGGCTTGTGGAGTGTGTGGCTAATCCATCCTCATTTCCGTTACCTATGTTTTATAGATTATGCAAAAGCGTTTGATAAAGTACGTCACAAAGACCTGTTGGAACTGCTTGAATTATTTGGAACGTATATTAGAATAATTCAGAACTTATATTGGAAGCAAACAGCCTGCATACGAATAGAAAATGAATTAGCCAGATCAGGCCAAGAATGGACTACTGCTGTCATATTTGGACGAAAGCGACACAGACTACACTTTCCAGCCTGAATAGAGTCCAAAAGCGTCTGCGAGTCCTTGGGGGGTGACAAATTATTTTCCACCCTCGAAGCTCTCCTTCGCAGGTGGGACGTGACAAACCTCTCGCTGCTCTGTCGCTAACGGAAAGTGCTGGGAAGAACTATATTCATTGATTCCACCAGTTTTAACCTTCAGGGCTATGACCCGCCATACCACTTATATTTTAGCAAACTACCCACATTCATTCCGTATTCCATTGGTGAGAAGTAAGTTCCATTTGAACAGCTTCTTCCCACGAACCATTGCTCTGTGGAATCGACTCCCAAGAGGATGTTTTCCCGATCACTAGAATCTTAACCTGTTCAAGTCTGGGGTTAACTGTTATCTTCCTCTCTTATCTGTATAAACTACCCCTTAACGTAACACTCTACCTCGAGTGGTCCTCGGGCCTTGTACAGAGTGAGCCTTACTGTAAAAAAAAAAGAAGTAAAGAAAGAAATTCAGTAAATATACAAAAATAGAAAGGGGTATAAGACAAGGATGAGTCTTCTCACCGGACTTATTCAACCTATACAGTGAGGCGATTCTGAAAGAATTAGATGTCCTACCAGGATTCAATATTAGCAGCCACAATCTTAATGGCATAAGCTATGCAGATGACACAGTGTTGATAGAAGACACAGAAAGGATTCTACAAGAACCCCTACAGAAAGTAGTGAAGGAGAGGAAGAAGAAAGGACTAAACCTCAATTATAAGAAGATAGATTGTATGGTTGTCAGCAAAAGTTCAACATGCAAAATACAAACTGGAGATATGAAAACCAAGAAAGTACAAACATTTAAATGTCTGGGAAGAGAAGGAAAGTGCGACACCGAAATCTGAAGGTGCATTGGAATAGCAAAAGATGCCTTCCAAAAGCTAAGCAAAGTATTAAGAAACAGGAAAAGTTAATTAGAACCAAAGTAAAGAGTACAGAATTCTTATATAATATCGGTTGGTTCTTTTGACAGTGAATGTTGGACAATCTTCCCACAGATGAAGAAGAAACCTGAAGCAGCAAAAATGTGGTTCTACCGAAGGATACTGAGAATACCATGAACTGAACATGTGAGCAATTTCTCTAGAAAATGGAAATAAAAATGTCACTTAAAGTTAACATCGGAAAGGAACAGTTGAAATTTCTAGGATACATAATGAGGAAAGATGGCTTAGAAAAATTGACACTCACAGGACAGTTTGAAGGAACTTGGGACAGCAGAAAACAGCTTATAACCTCTTTAACAAGCTTGGGAAAATGGTTGGTTGAACAGGGATTAGGAGAGATAACAAAAAGGTAATATATAGAGTTACAAAGGACAGGAAATTGTGGAGAGCCATGATCGGTCATGTTCTGGAAGAAAGAAGGAGTTTACTTAACACCGAATCACTCAGTCAGTCACTCACTATCAGTTTTTTTTTTGTACACCATTGTTTACCCAATACAAGTCCCGGGTGCCACTCAAAGTAGAGTTTTATTGAATCAGGTTGTTGTAAGGGGTTACAAGGCGGGAGTAACAAGTGCATATTATGAGGATATGTAGGATAGAAAAAAAGGTTGGCCCTAGATTTAAAGGGGTTAAGAGATAGCAAAAAAATAAGTTTTACTAAGAGCTAGAAAAGACAGGAAATTGTGGAGAGCCACGATTGTCAACGTGCTGAAGAGACATGGCACATAGTAGAATAGAAGAACAATTTTGAATGCAAAAATTGTTTCATTTTGACATCAATCTCATGATTTTTATCTGGTGAAGAGTTTGCATTTCTCAATAAATCCTCGCGAGGGACAGTGAGTGGAATGAGTTTATGATACGTCAACCCTTGTCAGGCTAACGTAGTCTTACTGAGTGAGGATCACAGTCATTACTCAGTAGTAATCATACTTATTATAAAACCCAGGTTGTGTGTGTGTGTGTGTCTGTTTGTTTATATATTGGATCGGATTTCCTACATTTTTCAACCGATTTCAACGAAACTTCACAGGACTACGTAAAATTAGCTTGCGGTGGTTCTGACAGCACCAAAAAATGGAAAAACACAATTGTTTTTGCACGAAATCAATTTGAAAACACGATTAAAAGGCATCGCTGTTTCGAGAATGAAAGGGGGACGACTCATATCGAGTTATATTTATAAAACCCAGGTTGTTTGTTATTGTGTGTGTGTGTGTGTTCGTTTATATATGGGATCGGATTTCCTACATTTTTCAACCGATTTCAACAAAACTTCACTTTTTTTGGCAGGTAGTGTTTCTTATCTTGCACACTTTTTTCTTTATTTTTAAATTTAGAATGCTTTAAAAATTTCTATTCAATCGGTAGACTCATAACGATTGAAAACAATGTTTTTGTTTGAGTTTGAGTTTGACCAATTCGTAAAAAAAGAAAAAAAAAAAAAAGAAAACAAAACAAAAAACTAATTAAGACTTGCGTGTCCGTCAACCTTAAGCAATAATCTTTGTCAATTTTATTTTTCAGTCTTTATGTGGATGATACTTGATCTATCTCTTACTGTTACATCCCCGGGCAACGCTGGGCGCTACTGCTAGTTGCCAATAAGATTAATTATGATAACTAGTACACCACTGCGAGGTGACTGCAAATGAAGATCAGGGTTTTAGTTCAAGGACATTCCCTTTGATCCTGTTTCAATTCGGTCGTATGTTAAACGTGAGAACACCGGTGTCTCATTTCACCGGATTCATTTTTGTTTTCATTCTATGTCTGCTCTTATTCCTTCTTCCAATTGCTTCATTTGATAAACAGGATTCAACTCTGTTCTGAATTATGATTGGTCTGACTGTATCACATGACGTTTTTTTGTGCTTATTTAAAAGCCGCGCTAATATTTTTCCCGTCAAGATTCGCATTTCAGATTGTTGTGTCTCCCGCCCTCAAAATGCTGTTGGTTCTTGTTGTTTCGTTGACATTATTGGCTGGCAAAGGAGAGGCCCTCAAGTGGTGTCAGTGTGGTATGTATTCTAATTTTTTCGTTATCTTACTTATTATAAAACGCAGATTGTGTGTGTGTGTGTGTGTGTGTGTCTGTACGTTTATATATTGGATCGGATTTCCTACATTTTTCAATTGATTTCAACAAAACGTCACAGGACTACGCAAAATTACCTTGCGGTGGTTCTAACAGCGCCAAAAATTGGAAAAACACAATTGTTTTTGTGCAAAATCAATTTGAAACACGATTAATCGCGAGAATGAAAGGGGGACAACTCGTATCGATTTATATATAGGTTGTTTTTGTGTCTGTGTGTTCATATATATATGGGATTAGATTTCCTATATTTTTCAACCGATTTCAACAAAACTTCACTTTTTTTTTAGCAGGTAGTGTTTCTTATTGTCTTTTTTTTTTTCTTTATTTTTAAATTCAGAATGCTTTAAATATTCCATTTACAAGACAATTGTTTATAAAAAAATTCTATTCAATCGGTAGACTCATAACGATTGAAAACAGTGTTTTTGTTTGAGTTTGACCAATTCGTAAAAAAAAAAAAAAAAACTAATTAAGACATGCGTGTCCGTCAACCTTAAATTGACCTTTGTCAATTTTATTTTTCAGTCTTTATGATGGTCGATACTTGATCTATCTCTTACTGTTACATCCCCGGGCAACGCCGGGCTCTACTGCTAGTCTTTTATATTATTCGATTCTGTTAATGTTTCCTATATTCTACATAGTTCTGTACAAGAGTTTTGGTAAATAGATATTTCTTCAATTGTGTTATTTTTTAGTTTATTCTCTAAATTTATTACAATTTCTCTCTTTCCCTGTCTTTGACTTAACTCAGATCGTTGGGGGGGGGAACAAGGGAGATACTTTTAAATTTAAATCTTTAGATGTGTGACTCATTGAACCTTATCGTACTAACCTTTTCATCTGACATGAAGTGGAAAGATTATATTGACTCAATTGCTGGGTCTGCCACCAGAAAAGTTGGTTCATTGTTCTCGCCAGAATTTATCTTACATATTTATAAGTCTACCCTTCGTCTTTAATTTGAATCTGCAATGTTGTTGGCCCTGACATCTCGGCTTCAGTCACTTTCCCACCGCCGTAATGTAGCTTTGCTGCGCCTTTTCTACAAATACTTTCAGGGTAATTCTTTTGATTGATTTTTCGCTATGTTACTTAGGCTTTACTGTCCTGCTATTTACCCATAGCTTAGAAGAGGATACATACCTTTCCCAAGGGTATTAGCACGTAAGTGAATCTAATGGATTCGACTGGATTTCGTACTCGCGTCTTTTTAAATACATTTAAGAATACGGGGTCTTTAAAAAAATACACCTCGCAATTCACTAGGTGGAGAGTTTCTTAGATTGAAGTCAGTGGCCTAGGTAGAAGGTTCAGTGACCGCGTGTCTATGACTAAAGCGAATCTTCAAGTTAGAGGGGATCTGCTGTGGTCTGATATACGGCGCACGAAAGAATACCGAACGAAACATCCGATGGGACCTGGTCAGGACCTCAGCTGCCTAGAACCCTAGAGCCACACCTGATGATGATGATTTTAATGGCGTCCCCCCCTTGTTATTCGGTAGGGCGAATCTGACTATCGTACAAGTGGTTTATAATGTTTTTATTTTATTTAAGTCGAGATGGTTGTTTGTGTAACTTTTTCTAAGATCCTTTGAAGTTAATTTTATTTGCCTGTCTTTTGTTCACTATGTACAAGGCCCAAGAGCCACTCGAGGTAGAGGGTTACAGCGTAAGAGGCACAGCTTATGTGGATATATAGGGAATAACCCTAGACATGAACAGGTTAAGATTCTAATGATCAGGGAAGCGTCTCCATGAGAGTTGGTTCCGCAAAGCAGTGCTTCGTGGAAAGAAACTGCTCGAGTGATACTCACATCACGGCATGCGCATTCGAGAAATCTTAGTAGAGAAAATGTGCCCTTCGGTAGGGAGCGAACCTGCGCACCCACTAAGCTCTTGAAAATATATTTCAATTGAGCACTGTTGACAGATAAGCTGATTCTATAACCAATAGCTACCTGCGCTAATGCAAAGCTCTTCTGTAAAATGAATTGGAGCACTCCGTCTGATTAGCGTTTGTTTATATTCGTAAAAACAATACGCTAGAATTTGCGGTCTCTCTGTTCTGAATGATAATAGCTCAGTGGTAGAAACTCTGACTGACACCAAATCGGTCGGGTTTCGGTTCTGGCTTGAAGCATTTAGATGTCTATTCGCAATGAGAAACTGGGCAACAGTACTGTCTCCGAATTTTTCACGTATGTCAGTCCGACAATTACTTTTAAGACATTTTTATGTTTATACATTCTTTTTATAGATACAAATATTTAAATAAATGCTCTGTTTTTAATAAACAGTATTAAACAACATTTACCGGCCTGAATGTCCATTTCAAAATGTGTGACGTCATTTGTTTACATTTGGATACGCATTGAGCAGATATGAATGTACGTGAGAGAATCATGGAAGATTGTAGTTTAAAAGCAGTAAAATCGACCTTGCTAAACGAACGATCCACTGTGGCTCAATCGGTTAAGGCACGGTTAAGGCTATATGACGGTTCTGTATAGGATACAGGTTCGATTCTTGAAAATTTCTCGGACATTCAGGCCGGTAAATGTTGTTAATACTGTTTATTATAAGCAAAGCATATACTTAAATATTTGTATTTATAAAAAGAATGAATAAACATAAAAATGTCTTAAAAATAACTGTCGGATTTTGTCCATTTCATAATATATATATATATATACTGTTTATATGCTATTGTAATAGATACAATTTATTTAAGTAAAAGCTCTGTTTTTCTAAATAAACAGTATTAACTACATTTACCGGCCTGAATGTTCGAGATATTTCGTAGAAAATATGTTCTTCGATAGAAATCGAACCTATAACCCCCAATGAGAATCATCATTTGATCTGATGTGCTGTTAACCATTCAGCCACAAAAAGTTAGATGTTGTCAATGTTTACGTTAAGGTACGTTTCTTGAGCAGATATGATGGTCCGAAAAGACCGTCGAAGATTTATTGTTTATAAACAGGAATTCAGACTTTGCTAACCAAACGATTCGTTTGATCTCCTTCAGTTAAAGACTACATATTTCGGACCATTTTTCTCGTTTCTGATGCATAATTTGATATAAATTGTCCAATATTTGAGTACCTTCGGCTTTCATAAGCCATTATCAAAGATTCTTGTTCTTTATGTCAATCAAATAGCGATTCTTTCTGTCCTTACACACACACACACACACACACACGTGTGTTATAACGATATATAATTTTGCATAATTTTATATATCAATAAACAGTCCGATGAAATCCTAATGCGCCACAACGTCCTGAGTATGAGGATAAACTACATCCGCGCCCTGGGTAAGACGATAAACAACATCCAACTGCAAGGCCTCTGATCAGGAGGTTTTGAGGAGCGTGAAACCACCTCTTAATTGCTGATGTTCCTAGGTTCCCCCTGATCCGGAGTGGTAGCACCTGTTAGGGTCCCAGGTATGGGAAAATAGAGAACCACCAAACAACACTATGAAAGGATAAAAATACATTTTTATAGTAAAATACCAGCAATACATTTTTATATAAAAATTACCAACAATATATATTTCTAGCAAAATGACCAGCAATATATTTTATAGCAGAATTACCAAGAATACATTTTATAGTATATATGTATATCTAGCCACTCGTATTCGATGATACACGTCTACTATTACAGATGCTTGCTCGAGCGCATCTTGTGTTTATTTAACACCCACTGCAACAAATACTGCAACTATGCCGAGGAGACCTTAGTTTCTGGGAAAGAGCGTGTTATTCTAGCGTGATCAACAGTTTGAACAAGACCAGCATCCTCAAGCCCTCGGCCACGATGACTTCGTACTAGCACTGCTGTCGACGGCAATTTTACTCAGAAGGCTTTGGTCAACCCGTGGTATGGTTTTCAGGTACTTTCTAGAGGAAGCGCTGAAGTTCGATAACATCAGGAAGTCTCCTTTCTGACAAATCGGCCATGGTGAGATTCGAACCCGGATCTCATGGTCAGAATGCCAACGTTCTAACCACTCATGCCCATATTATAATATTTTATAGTAGAATTACCGAGAATACCTTTTATAGCAAAATGGACGCCAATACATTTTATCTGTAGTTGAATGCATACAATTGCGTTCAAAACATATTCAGTTGAAGCCATAAAATTGTGTTCAAAATATTTAGATTTCAGCATTAAATAACCCATAGAGGTGTTGATATGCCGATATAGAAATTCAACCAAACAACCAACATGAAAGAACACATTCATGACATTAATCCATATAATATCCTACAATTTCTTAAATCGAACTGTATTCCAAAATATAACTTCAACAAAACTACAACATAAAACATACATATCGCCGCGTCGAATCCACACAAACATGTATATGCACAAAAGTTGAGTATCATCTACCATGTATTCAATTACGAAAGCAGAATAATATAGCATATTTTTATTACTTCAAAACTCGCTAGAAAATTAAATTTCACCATTAAATGAGCCATAAGATATGCCGTTAAACAAACAAATAAATTGAAATCTTTCGAGAATTCCAAAAGTCGTAAGCGTCAATTAATTTTTATAACACCTATCAACCCACACCAGTGAACATGTTATCATTTTTCACCATTTTTTTTTTTTTTTTTTTTTTTTTTTTACAGGAGGCGACGATAACGTCTTGATACAGAACGTGGACATCACTCCAGAACAATTGGGTATGTCAAGAAACGCAGAGTTGTCTGTTGAGGCTGATATTTTGAAACCACTAAATGGCTCGGATATCTCAATCAGCGCTTATCAAAAGAGCATCTTTGGTTATAGAAAGGCTCCCTGTATATTCGGATTTGGATCATGGTTTGTCTTGACATTTCTTTTATTCATTTTTCTGCCTGAAATAAAATATAGTCTGAAAACCTCTCCCCGACAAATGTTTTATACTTAAAGATCATCGTATTGTTTCTTATAACCAATGTAGGTTAAGACCAATGTGAAACGATTTTTACCTTCAGGCACTTAGGTATAATGTAATTAATGAAAACAAAACAGAAGTGAATATGTCTTGTTTATCTTTAAATTTACTATGTTTCAACTGAACCGAAATGAAGGTAGCCATTTTACAGCTTAGAGAGGGGAGAGTTCTTTTTTAAGGGGGGAGATGACCGCAGACGTAATATCTCGACAAAAAGGGGAGAATTCTTGATCATCACGAAAAAACGTATTTCATTATAACTAAGATAATTTATAATAAATGATTGTTGATTTGTTAATCGAATATGAACATATTTTAAGCAGAGCAGCATAAGTTACCTAGTGCAGTGACAATTTAGACTTAGAGTTATTTTATACTAAATCGTATGTGTGCACCAGGAAAACGCATTAATTTAATCAAAATTATAAAAAAATTTATTATGTAAAATTATATAAAAATGATCGATTATGCTATAAAATCTAAATAAATAAACGGTAAGACCTGTCTGTCCGTCCTTGTGTTTGAAACCCCTCTGTATAGGGATATTATACCTTTTTGGAATCAGGAAGATCACGAGATTGAAAATCTGCCTTTCATCTGCTGCTTGAACATCCAGCATTGAGATTTGTGTCCGGATGAAAAGGAACAGTTAAAAATTCAAATCTTTTTATATCTTATTGTTGAGATGTTGAGTTTTCCCGCGTGTTGGTGTATGAATCAAGACAAACACAGTTGTAGAGGAAAATACTGGTATATTCATAAAAGCAATTAACAATAGAGTGATTAGTAGAACGAAGGTTGGTTAGTACGAAACAATATCCAAAGTCTATAGTCCAACGGTATGTAACGGGTAAGCTTATCTGGACTGCTGTCGCTGACGCACCTCCGTCCTCTCTCTAGAGCTGACTTATATAAGAGGGACCAGTCCATTTCTAGTTAGAAGGTGGGTGCGCCCCAACACCCCCCTAAAATTGTTACATTGTGAGAAAAAAAAAAAAAAAAAAAAAATTAATATTTTTTCCTTTTCGGGTCTATTATTAAATTTTGTGTCGCTTTACGTTTTCTTGCAGATCTGCGTTGTTTCTGCTCAGTCTGCGGTATTTGCAGGTCAAACGTATCAAACAATTCGTGTAATTCGTCTTGTGGGGTTACTTCCGATTCGTCGGTCTTTCTTTTCTTCAACTGGTTAATGTGCCGTTTGTGTGTAAATTTGTTTCCTTGTATAATGTATACCATATCCCCAATGCGCTTTTTTACGACCCCTGGTTCCCATGATGTTGCATTATTTTTATAATTTTTGAAAAAAATTTTCATTTATGTTAAATTTTCGCCTGGGAACCATAGCGACTGTTGAGTACCTTATTTTCTGGTATCAATTTGTCAAAAGCCGATCTGACCTTTCTTGCGAACATTAGTTCCGCAGGTGATAAACTTGATGGGGCAGATTTATTCGGGGTAATTCAGTACACTTGCAGGAATAGCTGTAACGCCTTTCTAGTCGGGGTACCCGTTGCTTTTCTAAGAGCCCTTTTTAGCGTATCGACAAACCTTTCGGATAGTCCGTTGCAGCGTGGGTGATACGGAGGAATCATCACGTGATCCACTTGGAAATTCTGGCAGAATTCTGCGAATTCTTTGCTCGTGAATTGGGTACCGTTGTCACTAACCACAGTATCTACCACTCCAAACCTTGCAAATAATTCATGTAATTTGTTTATTCTATTTTGAGATATTGGCCTCTTCATTTGGAAAACTTCGGGCCATTTACTAAAGCTGTCAACTACGACCAAATAATGCCATCCGTCAATTGGACCCGCAAAATCAATGTGAATCCTTAACCATGGCCTGTCGGGTTTTGGCCATGGCTTCTGTAGAATTTGTGGTGATTTTGATGCCTTTACATCTGCCGACCATAGACGCGATGTCGTTGTCCATACCTGGCCAGTAGACGTATGCTCTCATGAGACTCTTCATTCTATTTATGCCCGGGTGACCAGCATGAAAGTCTTTCAGTATTCTTTTTTGGAGTGTGTTAGGGATTACTACCCTTTCACTGTATAATAGCACATTATCGCGCAGAGAGAATGTCTCTTGAATTTTTCCATCTTTACTAGCTAGCTTATCTTTTATTTCTATTATATATTTGTCTTTTTCTGCTTCTTTTTTGATGTCCTTAAGCGATACTGGTAATTCTCGGATTGCGTTCGCCAAATTTTCTTCAACCTCGTCCTCTGCTCTGAGGGATGCGATTACCATATCCTCTAAAGGTTCTGTTGCTTTTGGAATGAGTCTTGATAAACCATCTGCGTGACCAATTTTGTGGGTGGAAAAATATTGTATTCTAAAATTATAATTTAACAAAATTGTCCCCCACCTAAGCAATCTATTTGCGGTGTATGTTGGCAGACCCTTTGAACCGAATATCGTTACCAGAGGCTTGTGGTCTGTCTGTAGCGTAAAATACCGTCCATGAATGTATATGGAATTTTGTTACAGCGAAGATAATCGCCAATGCCTCTTTTTCAATTTGTGAATAGTTTCGTTCAGCAGGTAGTAGCGATCTGCTTGCATGAGCGATCGGTCGAACTTTTCCATTCTTCCACTTGTGCAATATGCACGCACCTACGCCGTGTGTACTGGCATCGCTCGCCACGATGATATCTACCTTTGGATCAAAATGTACAAGAAATAAATCTGTCAATTTTTCTTTTATATCCTTGAATGCTTGCTCGCATTCTTTTGTCCATATCCAAGGTTTTTTCCTTTTTTTTAGTAGATCGTTAAGGGGCTCGTAGAATGTGGAGGTCTGGGATAAAGTCCTGGTAATATGACACCAAGCTTAAAAAAAACTTTGTAGGGATTTAATATCCTTTGGCTCAGGCATATTTTTTATTGCTGAAGCTCGATTTTTATCTGGCTTTTTCCTTCTTTATTCACTATATGTCCCAGATACTTGATCTCTTCCAGGAGAAAATCGCATTTGTTTTCTTTCACTCGAAATCCATAGCTTCTTAACCTTTCGAAAACTTTGTGTAAATAGCGTTTGTGTTCATCCACCGATTCACTTTTCACGAGTATATCGTCGAGATAAGCTATCGTGTAGTCTAACCCGGATAACATCGTATCCACAATTTTCTGGAATATTGCGGGTGCTGTCTTCACCCCGAACGGTAAACGTTCGTATCTGAACAAGCCTTTATGCGTGTTGATGCATAGCTTTCGTTATCCATGGGTACTTGCAAGTATGCCTCGCTAAGGTCTATTTTCGAAAAGATTTTTCCCCCATTTAACTTTGCGAACACTTCTTCGGGACTTGGTAGTGGATAGTGGTACTCTTCTATAGCGTCGTTTAACCCGGTTGAAAAATCGGCGCAGACGCGAATTTCGCCCGACTTCTTTACGTAGACAGCCGGAGCTGCCCAGTCACTGTATTCTGTTTGAGATCACACCAATTCTCGTTAGTCTTTCGAGTTCTTGGTCAATTTTTTCTAATGCGGCAAAAGGGATGCTACGCTTTTTTAAAAAATTGGTTGAATATTTTTCTTCAGTTGTATTTTTGCTGATGCTTCCGTGCAACGTCCAAGTCCTTCAGCGAAGACTTCGGGGAATGCTGTTTTCAATTCTGCTTGTAGATTTTTATATTGTCTTTGCTTTCACTAATGTTGTTGCAAAAAGAACTAATGGGCACGTCCCATAGGTTGAACTTAGTGATTGCGTCAGTCCCAAACAGGTTGTTTGTGTTTTTCATTACAAAAATTTATTTTTATCGACTTATTGTTGAAGGTTATATTTACCCATATTTCCCCTTCAAATTTTATCTTTTTTCCAGTTACCGTCCTGGCTATTTTGTTGGACTTGAGCATATTTGGCTTTCCTAGATTTTTCCATGTTTGTGTGTTAATGATTGAAATGTCAGATCCTGAATCTAGTTGCATTTTTACCTTGTACATTTTTACATGCAGGTATTTTCAAATATTCAGGTCTTGATCTTCGTCTGACTTGGTAACTTTTACTCGACTTCTGTTTAATTTTCTACACTTGGACATCTTATGTCCTACTTTTTAAATTTCTGCAAGTTTTATTTTATATGGACAGTCATTTTACCAGTGCCACTGGCCCATCCATAACATGCACTCAGAGGGAGTTTTTTTCTATAGTCTCTGTTCGTTCTTGTAGTAGGATACCACTTCCGTTCCAGCGATGGAGAACTGAAACTAGTCTTCCTATTTACTTTCTTCACATTTGCGATAGCAGTTTCTTCTATTTTTTCTGAATCTTGCTTAATGCTTGCGCATTGCTGAGAGTACTCGGCTAGCTTTTGAAGTGTCATGTTTTGGTCATTTTCTAGCTTTGCTAAAATGCGTCTTCGCATTTCGCTATCTTTTTTAGACACTAAGCCTAGCACGAATATTAAACACTTAAAATTGTCCGCCGATAATTCGGACAAGCGAAAATCGTCACACGTCTTATTTACGATTGACGCGAAAGTCGTGTAATCTTCCTGCTCGCTTTTTTGGATATTAAGGCATTTCCACCTTTTGTGCAATAATGATAATCTGGGGTTAAAAAGCTCTTAATTCAATCGCTTCATCGAATTTTAACTCTTGTCTTTGGGTAATATAAAATCCGTAAATTTCTTATGTTCTGCCGTTCCCAGTTTCCGTAGCAACAATCTTATCTTTTTCTCGTCTGTCCATGTTTGGCAATCGACTTCATAAAAATCCTGATATCTATGATAATATCTTTCGAAAGTCTTTTCCTCTTTTGGGTTATAGGTAAAACTTTCGATCGTCGACCATATTGTGTCTTGGGAAAAATATTTTCATCCGAGTCTTTCTGCTTAGACAGTATAGCTTTATGTATCAGTTCAGTCATTGCTAACCGT